AAAAATGAATAAAATGGATAAGAAAAGATAGATTTTATATATTTTCTCTCTTATACAAAGGTCAGAGAGGAGCGCTTCACATTATTCTACAAATTATCCGAATGATTCGTTTGATCCGATTGATTTGTTCATAGTTTTGACGGCGTCCCTTACCACAAAGTTAACTAACTTATAGGCACTGTTATTTCAACGGTAACTGAAAAGACAGTTACCGTTGTTTTAACGATGACTGTCTTTTCAGTTTCCGTTATCTATAACGGCCGAAGCTGTAACGGTGACTTTTACAGTCCTAGTGTAAACTAAATATGCGAGGGAGGGATGCCGAGTTATTACTCTTGATTATCAAGGTCTGAAAGTCTCCAACTGTTCAATTTTTGGAGCTCTATCCAACTAAGTCCTCGAAGCTTGTGAACGCGAGGAATGCAGTTTTAAAAATAGCTGAAGTTTCAAATTTTGAAATTGAAATAAAAATTTTAGCTAATGAGTTAGGGACTTAAGCATTTTTCTAAAATGTAGCCTATTCACTTCTGAATAAAACAGCTAATTTGAAATATTTTTAGAAACAAATATTTTTTTTAAAAATTTGTTTTGTTGTGCACGGATGTATGAAAAGTCATGATTTTCTGAAAAGGCACTTTTCCGGCACTTTTAAAAAAAATTATTTCGAATTAATCATCGGAAAGAATATCACCCAAAATCCTTAAGTACTGAAAGTTATGAAAATCGGTTTGCTCAATGTTAAGATAACATTTTTGCGTTACACGTCTGTTAACCAGTCATATAGAACATATTCATCACGAGCATATAACGCATGCATTATATATGAACACATGTAGAATTATCTATCTGCTATTATGTTTCCATATCAGAGTTGGGCAAGTCATGGGTTTTTCAAGTCACAAGTCAAGTCATTAAAATTTCTCACCCATCAAATCACGTCTCGGGGTTGTCCAAGTCAAGTCAAATCAAGTCACAGGCCAAGACTTGAAATTTTTTTTCCCGTAGAAAACGGCATACGAGAGTCTCCATTCTTTGGTATTAGAACATATACTTGCTATGGAAATGCAAAATGCGCGTCTTATTACTGTGCATAAATTCTTACATATTATAACATCAACATTCCCAAATTATTATGAATTATTATTTAAAATTAGATTGTATGAGTGGTTTAAAAATATTTATGACCTGACTTGATTTTTTTATGCCAAGTCGCATGTCAAGTCTTTTAAAAAAATAATGTTAAAAAAATTTGTTTTAAAGTGGCCCTATTCGATTAAAAAATAAATAGTTTGAAAAGAAAGAAGAACATAGATTTGATGATGGTGTTTATCAACGGTAATTTAACGTTTACCTGGTATTATTTCTCTTTTCTCTGCTGTGTTTCACATTCGATAACAATTACAAAAACATCAAATGATGTTAAACATACATACAACAAAATCTAAATAAAAAACGTTGGCATTTGAGCTGCGACAAATACTGATTTTCTTTTCTATTTTCTCTCCTTATTCACGTTATATATAGTGTGTGCACACATCACAATGTGCGTTATCAACTACGTCTGATGTGTATAACGTATATATTAAGACCGTTGTCGTGCGTGATGTCGGGTTCCTTTGTTCTTTTTCCTTCATACTAATCGAAGAATATGCATCACAGAATATCTTCTTGTATGATATACCTATCGACTCTTCGACTGGTATGAAGGAAAAAGAACGCAGGAAACAATACATCGTGCACGATAACAGTCTTAATATATATGGTATATACATCAGACATAGTTGATAACCGACATTGCAATGTGACTAAGAAAAGAAAAGAATAGCGCTATTTGTTGGTCTAATGAGTTCCTTTTCTATTTTGTTTTCTGATTCACGTTATATATAGTGTGTGCGCACGTTAAAACGTGCGTTATCAACTATGTCTGATACTGATGTATATGTGTTTGAATATACTGTGAAGTTCACGTCATACTATTTCGTCGTTTCATATAGTTTACATGCCGACGTATGGTTGATTGAAAGAAACAAGACAATGACAACGTGTTTTAACGTTCGTCTACACCATATGTAACGTGAATACGAAAAGAAAATCACTATTTTTCAAATCACTATTAATGGTTACTAGAACAAAGTACCATATATTATTTCAGAGAAGGATACAGTACATAATCGTACTAGAAGCTGTACAAGAAAGTTTATGAAAAGAATAATATTATTTGGGATTATTGTGCTATTTGCTTACGGTATTCATTATCTCTCGATATTATTGCCTATCATTAGTGGATATGGAGCTAAATACATGTGTTCAGCAGTGTTTATAGCCGGTCGTAGTGAACAACAACAACATAAAGAAGATCTTGGTGCCTTTCCTTTCAAATATGCAACATTTGCTGTTAATTACACTGATTTATCAGTAAGTGGTTCTGTGTTTGGATTTTCTCAACTTAAAGCTATATATCGCAATGGACTCGGTGCAACGTTGATTAGTGAATTAACGGAAGAACAAATTCGTGCTCAAACATTCAATATAGCAATACCACCAGATATAAACCAAGATAATATTTCATGGCCTATGGGTGATAAAATAGATGATGACAGTTTTCCATCGAATATCAATCAAACACTACTGCAAAACGCTATAAACGATATGTTTATCGAAAAAGATTCAACTAAACTTATACGTACACGAGCTATTGTTGTTGTATACGATGGAAAACTGATTGCAGAACAATATGCTCCTGGTTTTTCACGAATTTCAAAATTATTAGGTTGGAGTATGACAAAAAGTATAACTAGTGCACTTATCGGTATTTTGGTAAAAGATATGAAACTAAATATCGATGAGCCTGCGCCAGTGCCTGAATGGAATAATAATAATGATCCTCGTCATTCAATAACAATAAAGACTTTATTACAGCAAACTAGCGGATTGAATTTTAAAGAAGATTATTATTCGAAAAGTGATGCTATACAAATGTTATTTGAGACCAGCGATATGGCTGCATTTGCTGCTTCACATCCATTAAAAGATAAGCCAGGTACTCTATGTTATTATACTAGCGGAAACAGTAATATATTATCACGTATTATTCGTCATACAGTTGGCGAGAATGAATATCATTCGTTTCCTTATCGAAAATTATTTTATAAGCTTGGTATGCATAATATTCTTATGGAAGTCGATGCATCAGGTACTTTTGTCGGTTCATCATATTCTTGGGGTACTGCTCGTGATTGGGCACGGTTTGGTTTATTATATTTAAATAATGGTTTGTATAATAATGAGCAGATATTATCTGAAGATTGGATCAAACAAACAACTACACTTGGTGGTTCTAATCAATACGGTGAATATGGATTTCATTTTTGGTTAAATACGGGTAAAAATAATGATTCGTCTACCCGACGATTACCAAATGTACCTGCAGATATGTTTTTTGCAAGTGGTTTTGATGGACAAGCTATATTTATTATTCCATCTAAGAAATTAGTAGTCGTTCGTCTAGGTTTAACACAAACACCAGGAGGAAAATATGGAGCCAATGAATTTTTAAATAATGTTATTAATTCAATTAATTAAAAATTGTTTAATTAATTGATTCGACATACTCGAGTGGAAAAATTTAATTATATCTATTCAATTATTGTGTTTGTTAAACTTCATTACATAGTGCCATCGTTAACAGTAAATAAGTGCTTAGAGGAAACAAGGTTGAGAGAGTAGAGATAGAACGTGTATTATTGAACACAGGATTTTCTAATTTTTACATTATTATATACAACTTGTAGTTATCAAGAGAAAAATTGTTTTTTAATAAGTCTGCAAAAGAAAAGACATTAAGGGTACCTCTCCTCTTTTTTGTAAAAATTTCGGATTTTTAGCTGAGCATAGACTAATGTAGAGGAAAGTGTGGGCTACAAAATAAGACCCCTTCCAGGGCACGATCTTTTCTCAAAAAGTTATTGAGTTTTGAAGTTTTTCCTTCAAAATAAAAAAAAACTCAACTTTTTAGTTTTATAAACTTTTCTCTCATTTTCTGCACATGCAGAATTTTCCTTTTTTTTCATATTTCACAGAATTTTTCCCGAGGAGTTTTCGCGGAGATATAAGTATCACGGCAAATGCTCTGAAAATAAAGTGACCTATGCACAAAATGAGTTTTTTCTCGAAAACTATTTTTTTGTTACCAGGCTTCATTGTGCCGCATTACGGCCCCCTTTAAATTTCATCCAATCGAGTAAAAAATTTTAGCAGAGGTACTTAAGACACTATTGGAGAGATTATTTTTTGGAATTTTATTTTAGACTTTTCTTTACCCAGTTATAGAGTTTCTGAAATTGAAAACCTTGGTTTTTGAGGCGTTTTTCAGTATTTTTCCTACAACTCGACCATGAAAGGGTTTAGAAAAATTTCGAAAAAATTATCTCTGCGGAATGACCTTGAGTACCTAAGTATGGTAAGATTTTTAACTCGATCGGATTAAATTTAAGCGGGGTCGTAATGTGATGCAATGAAAAACCGAGTTATTTGTAAAACTGGTGAATGGCAATAGCGAAAAACTCGAAGCAAAAACGAAAACGTGCTCCATTGACTTTCCAATCATGAAGCCTTAGCGACTTTTGGTTTTTATTCTACAGCATTTCTACGGAAAGCCCAAAAAGAGAGGATGGGTACCCTGAAGGGCCCCCTCAGAAATGGTGACTTTCGGTCAAAACATGAGTTATGAGATAAGCACATGGAAAGATAGCCTGCAGTGTCTAATTTCAGAATCTGTATCGCTTTTGGTTACAAACGTGATTTTTCGCGGATTTTCCGCAAGTTTTCTAGGAGCCTCGAAAAACCAAATAATAGTTCAAATAATAGCTTTTTCCTGGATACTTATGCAATTAAAATTTTTCTAAACACACAGATTTGTGGAGCAAACACTTCTGATCAAAATAAGATCACGCACAGCTCTGTATGACCTTGCATCAAAAAGTTACAAGCATTTTCGTAGAACTTCTAGAATTAAGTATTTCATATAGCGTTTTCTCTATATAAGAGTCACACCTGAAGTATTTCCCAAGATTTTTTATAGCGATTTGTCATAGAGAGTTTTTCTTTTTCTGTTTAAAAGAGGAAAAGAAACTATATCGTCTGACCGGCGCCGATTTTTGAATTAGGTCTTAGTTTTTTATCAAATTAAGGCTTTTTAGAAAATCTGGAAGGCTTTTTCGAATTTGGAGGTTGTTGGTTGCCTGGAAAACCAATAAAGACTTAACTAAAAAATCGGCGCCTGTCAGATCATGTAGTTAGATCTTAGTGGAAAACGTCGAATGGAAGAATGTCGAAAGGGAAAAACGTCGAAAAATACTAGGAAAGGAAAATGTCGAAAATGCAAATACTAAAGAGAAAAGATTTCTGTACTGTGATAGTGTATAAATAAGATATTTTATTATAGTTATTGGAGATTTATTTATTATAACAGTTTTTATTAAAAATATTAAAGAAAGAATTCGATGACAGTCAGCAGCATAGTCGTGGCGGCTTCTGATAGACTAGCTTTCGCGACTTCGTTATCGTAAATTTTTATAGTTGAATGAACAATGATGAAGAACATAAATCAATAATGGTTTGCCTTTATTCCATGTTATAAATGACACTGCTGGCTTCATTGCTTCACTTTGGCTGATAGCGGTGTTTCTTTTTCTACATATGAAATAGAGACAATAAGGATTCTTTTCTCTCTTTTTAGATATGATATAAGAGATTGACGGATCTTTTTATTGTCAGGCCGATGACCTTCAGTCTTTGAAGATGTTATTTTCCTTCGTCGATATATGCTGTGTCCATTCATTTATTTTACTTTCGGCGCCGTATCCACTTATTTCATCAGAGACTTTTTGTCATGCATTTTGTGAACATACCCAAGCAGATGAAAAAAGTCGTTTGAGGGATGCGGCGAGTACTCGAAAATAGGCCCTCGCCGAGGGCTCCAACCCTCGGAAAATGACACTTCGGACTATGGATATGAGCTGTCGAGCGCTATCGATTTCGAGCACTCGGATTTCAGATAGATAGCGAACACTCGAGAAAAATGTCGAGCCGTCGAATAGAAATGTGTGCGGGACTTCTGAGCCTTTGCTTTCTCGAGGGTGCAACGAGGGCTCGGAAGTACTTCTCGGAAGCATATATCAAAGGTCCAAAGTGTCATTTTCCGAGGGTTGCAGCCCTCGGCGAAGGTCCATCGAAAGCATATTTCCGAGCACTCAAAGTACCCTTCGAACAACTGGTTGGGTACGAAATGCATTTTCAGTTCAGAAGGTCGTCGACATCTTCCCTTTCTATATTTCCTTCTTTTTTTTTCGGTGTTTTTCCAATCGACGTTTTCCGTCAAACCCGTAGTTAGGTGTCTAACTTAAAACAAAACAAACCCGAACTCTCCGGCTTGAAGTGCATTAAAAAATCTTGGGAAACACGTCAGGATCCTTTTTGGGCCTTGATCTCTAGAAAACTCCTGAACGATAAGACTTGGAAGCAAAAAACGTTTTCATTCCCGTAACTCATTAAGTCGAAGATTTATGGAAAGCTTCGTCAAGATCGAATGTATGGTGTCGGAGATAATTTCTGAGGGGGGTCCGTTATTTCATGTGGAGAGGGAGACTTAATTATCTCGGATAAACATTCCTTTTTAGGTGTGAAATAAAAGAACGGTTGCTGATGAAAATTCATATTGTTAAATGCACCAACTTGTATAACATAATTTTATAATATTTACTTCCATTTGTAATTATAAACGGATTTTATGATGTAAAGTATGTGTTTTTACTTTTAAGTTCTTCTTACGAACAACAAATCAGCGTTCTTCATATACAAACACCACGTATGATTTTTAGAAAAAACAGCGGTGTCTAGTTCTACAATAGAAGTGTGCCGGGTATGAGTTTTTTCTACCCGGTACGCTACTCTGTCAAAATTTCTTGTATGTCACTTAAACTTGGTTTTGTAGAGGAAACTTCGGACTATATATGGACAATCTTCTGCTTTATGACCATGTTTTTCACGACTAATTATTACGTCAAACTGTGCATCAGAGCTTCAGCTACTGTTAATCTATGCATGCAACTCCATGCCGAAATCCATTATACTTATGGATGAATATAGTTTCTTTTACTGGAATCAGAATTCGAATTGTACCGGAATCTGGCAGAATTACAACAGAACTGGACCAGACTCTGCCAGTTCATGGAGAGAGTGTAAACGTGAGAGGAGTAGGAATAAAATTCTGGAATTTCCACGAAACTGTAAAACTTGATCACGCTGTGTTCTTTTGTTCCATATAAAAACTAGAAAGTTCTTTTATAACCGATGTATGTAATGTTAAAGCAAACTAATGAGTCTTTTCGGCACAGAAATAACAGCAGAGAGAAGCAAACAACACAATAGATCAAAATCATTAGTTTGTTACCATATGATACGAACTTAGTAGACAGGTTAAAGATCTATTTGTGGCCGTGAATTCTATTCGGAAATACCCTAATTTGTTCAGCCAGTTCTACAATTAAGCCAATTATGTAAAGTGTAAGATAGTTCCTTAAACGCACAACCACAATCCTTCTATCGATAACAAACCGAAAAGTATACATTTCAATTTTGGAGAAAACACAATGATTGCACAATCTCAATCGTTCGGCATACAGCGTCCCCTAGCTTGGGATTGTTGTATGCCTAGATGAGGTGTTAAACATTTAATGTCAATTACAGACAAGCTCTTTAATTTTTCTTTGTTACAACTTTGATCGGTCTTTTTTTGTGTCAATGGCAGCGTTCATTTTTACTTTTGGTTGAAACTACAAATCTTATTCATTATAGGCATTCACGAAAAACTGTTCTACATCCACAAGTCTTTAGTTAAATACAAGTCTGATTGACCAGGAACAACCTTTGTGAGATGATCAAAAGCGTTTCACCTCTGCCCACGTTACACATAAATGTATTCATGAGCACGCTAACTATATGTACAAAAGACTTCGCTGAAACTATTTACCCATTAGTTTGTTTTAACCAATAAAAGAACTTCCTGGTTTTTAAATGGAACACAAGAACACAATGTGATCAAGTTTCACAGTTCCGTGGAAATTCCAGAATTTAACCTAATGCTATTCACTGTCAAGCTCCTACTCCTCTCACGTTTACACACTCTCCATGAACTGGCAGGGTCCGGTCCAGTTCTGCTGTAATTCTGCCAGATTCCGGTACAATTCGAATTCTGATTCCAGTAAAAGAAACTATATTCATCCATAAGTATAATGGATTTCGGCATGGAGTTGCATGCATAGATTAACAGTAGCTGAAGCTCTGATGCACAGTTTGACGTAAGGGTATATAATTAGTCGTGAAAAACATGGTCATAAAGCAATTGAGGTGACTTTTCAATTCGCTGACTCGTAGTGTTACTCCTGATTATATATGCAAATAAAAAGTCTTCTTTCATTTTTTCATAATGCAAAATACTTTTTTGTTTGAAGTATTATAACACACTTTACTTTATTGAACATCTGGTTAGTGCTGATAAACAATATCAGAGTAAACATAGGTCT